GTTCAGTGTGCTTGAGACAATATTTATTTTAAATCACCTTTTGAACTTTGAGTCTTTTTAAACTCCTCTCTCACCTGCGACGCATCGGGAGGGAACGCAGCATCGAAGCCGAACATCTTTGGTGGAACCTGATTGGCTCCCGCTCTTTTCTGAGAAGCAGCACTCTGTGCCTGATTGACTGGGTCCATGATGGTGATCTGTTTCTTTCTGGGATCCACTTTCAGGAAAGAACTGGACTCGGCTGCATCGGACTGAGACACTGGGCACACTCGCACCATCACCTTTACCTGAAGACAAGACATTTCAAACAGGTATTTACTGTAACTTAAGCTAAAGAAAAACACATGATAGACTAGAGCTATTTACTAACTCGTGTAAATGCGTATTATTGCACAAAATCAAGAATATAAACAGGCCGCCAGACTTGCAGTTAAACCCAAAAAGGCTGATTAGCAAAGATTTTTTTTGTTTGTTTCCCAAAAAACAGTCTTTGTTATAATGCTCAAAAATATTAAGTGTCTTTCAAGTTCCTCAGAGATCAATGATTTGGTGTTTGACTCGTTTTAAAAACCTCTCATCCTGTATTCTTTAGTAAAAGCACTGAAAGTAAAGAATTGCTGGAAGGCGTGCATCCTTGCCTTGACTGTGATAAATGACATCCAAAGAAGCACATAATGCAGATTTTTAGCACTACATGGGTTTCGACACGCTCTTTTCTCCCTATTCACCATGAGAGCTTCCACCTCCCTGATCCCTTCTCCTTCACTCCTCACTTATCTCTCCCTCCTATCCTTAATCTGTTCTTATTTTTTTTTCTATTCATCTCAGCTCGCTGCCACGCATCAAACGCCAGAAGTGCAGGAATCCAGTTTTAGCTGCTTCTCATCCTCTCTCTCCTCCATTCCTCCCACTTCAGTCACAAAGAGTTAGCATACACAGTTTACCGCCCGACTACAGCGGCAGCAAAACGCTGCGTCATCGAACCGAAGTGAGGTTCAGAACACCTCCACACAGAAAGAACAAGTTTCTGAGTTAGTTACAGATGTTTTTACAGTTTGAGGCGCTGTCTAACAGCTCATTGATGCTCCATGTCTCCTCCTCATGCTCATGGAAGCAAATTAATGTTTGTTCCTCTAACTCGTTTGATCTCCCAACAACTATATCACATCCTTAGTCTGCTTGTTTACTTCTTTTAACGTTTGTCCCTAAATAGCTATGATTTCCTGCTATTGGAATTAGGAGATTTAAGAATAAGTTAATTATTGGGACAGAGTATCAGTTCTTCATAATCTAATAACTGCACAAATGACCACAACAGAATAAATGGCTTTATTTGTCAGAAAAACGCAGCACACAGTAATATAACTGCTACATCATTTGTCATTTTGACATGTTTTTATTTGATTATTTGTCATAAATGTTTCATACAACAAAGGAGAAAAAAAGACTGAAAATAACCAAAACAAGACGGGTTTATTCGGTACACCGATGTGAACTTTATGAATAAAAGCTTGCTTGTAGCTAATATCTGCCTTTTTTATATAAAGGGAACATAAAATTCAGACAGCTTTTTTGCTGTTAAATATATTTACTTGCATAATAAAATCCCGAGCTTTCTGATTTTCATCATTTAATGACGGTTGACAAATGTTTTCTTAATAAAAAGCTCATCAGATCAGCATCAAACTGTACCCACAGATGAATGAAAACCATCGACTGAGATGCTTTCTGAAAATAACAAGGATGTAACTTGTGTGACAATCAGATCAAGACTAAAAAAGAAATGCAACAAAAATAAAACGCTACACAATCTCGCACACATGAACACACACTTAGATGCACTTCTGGACCCCTTGCTGATCTCAGTAAAGAAACTACATCAGAAAGAGCCTGAGGGGAAATATTTTCCTGTTGCACATGATACAAGAAGCAACTTGTGAAGTTCTCCTCCTCGAGTCCATTTTGACCTCATCTTTACGGACCAGAAAGGTGTTTGTGTTAATATAAGTGAGGTATAAATAAGAGCCACAATGCTGACTGATGTTGGTTTTTCATGTGTTCATGAAATGGGCTATTCCTCCTTCTTTCTTTTCTATATCAAAGCTCTGTGGGTCAACGACCAAACTGCTTTTGGATTTTTTTCTTTGAACTAATAACAGCCTGTTTCTGTTTCTGAATGACAATATAGCAAATATAATTTTGTGCAGCATTCACTATAGCTTAAGACTCTCCTTTTTATTTGAAACATGAAACCACATCACCCTGATAACCAGCTTTAGAGGCAAAAAAATTCAGCCAAGATCAGATATTTTCATTGTTTATTAAAACATCAGTCAATATTCTCCGAGACCATTGACCTGATTTTAATCAATACACCTGGAGAAAGATCACAGCCAATAATAGCATCAGAGCTAATGGACTTTTTGTCCTTTGATGCAGAAAATGAAAAAGAAAAGTAGTTATGTTTTTGTGGAGAAGAAGAGGAGCGAGAAAGAAATGGGTCACTAATAACTCTTTATGCAGTCCACACAGACCAGAGCTCTCACCCCGTTGATCTCGGTCTCCTGACCACTTCCCATCTCCTCCTCTTCATCCATCCAGCTTCAGTTTCATGAAACGGAGTACTCTTCCTTTCCTGAAAGTCTGCTCAATATTTCTGCCTCTCCTTTCCAACAAAGACAAACCGCAGGCTTTTGCTATCATCAGTTCTCTACTCTCCTCCTTCTTCTCACACTTCATGCTGCAGTGAATATATTGATGTGAGCTCAAACAAAGAAAACTGAACCTATTGCATGTGCCGCACATGAATCTAACTTCCAATGTCTGAGCGTTTTTGTTTGTCTTTGTCTTACATTGGACGTGCCTGTTAAGGTTAATCTTCCAGCAGCTTTAAGTTCTCTTCTAAACTAATGAGCAGAGATTGGCTTTTGAGGGAAACTGACCTCACCATACCCTCTTTTGAATATAGATCTTTCTGTTGCTTCACTTTAGACACTACACTCAGGCATGTGAGCCAGTTTTAGAGCAGGAACACTGCTAAATGGCAACAACGGTCCCTGAGCTTGGAGAAGTTTGTTCAATAGTCCCTCACACCAGAGGTCCATTGCTATTGGCTGGAAAATCAATAAAAGACTAAGATTGAGCTCTAATTGGTTCCCAAAGACTGCAAAAAACACACATTTGTGCGAATGCATGGACACAGACATAAATGCAAGGAGCGTATGGAAATAGAAGTTTCACATTTCTGATCAATTCTAATTTTAACTAATTTATTCATTTCAGCTCTGCATGGATACAACATATTGATTGTTTAACTCTGAGGTTTGAATCTGACTGGAAGGGTATTGTTGGAAACTGTCACAAATTAAGGCACCTGTGCTGACATTTGTAATGGTGAATATTATCAAACTTTAAACTGTTATCCAGT